GCGATTGCACCGGAGCTTATTAAGGCACGGCAAAGCAAAGGGGATGAACACTCATCCAACCAAGAAGTGCCAGTTTGTTTTCATTGCACCTTGCGAAAAGCCCTTTGCAGGAACTGGCAGAGTTAACAATGCAAATTGCAAATATACGTAGGTGGAAGAGTGATGACTTGAAGCTGCAGTTAGCTAAGCCCAGAATTAAAGCCTTATGATGCATAAATATTGATGAATTTGTGAGATTAGTTTTTAAATATTAATAACCTGTTGTTTGCAAGCAATGTTGGAGTCAGCTTCTTGAGTATCAGACTTCAGTGTCACTCTACAACCATGCAATCAAGCAAGAAGATAATGATGATTAACTTAGTAGTACCTAGCATTTACCTACGCAATAAAAATTAGAGCAACGGACTATTCTCCTCCTATGGCTTACATGGAAAGCAAATCTTGTTTCAAAATGAGAACACAGTTACGAGATTGAAGCTGACTGGAGAAACTATATTTTATTGTGCATTAAGCTAACTGGCAATTTCAGTGGTGCCAGAAATTCCTACTTAGTTGGGAATTCTTATTTTCAGAGACATATTTCAAATTATCAATTTCATTCTGAGTAAATTGATCAATAAGATCTCATGGTATCTAGACAGACAGGTATCTTTAAAGTTGATTTTGTAGGGAAAAAGTATACAGTTAAGCTGAATACTTCACTTCAAGTTATGTGTTATACATGGAAACCCTATATTTATATCTACTTTATTTATGTGTTTTGTTATTTGTGGATACAGTTGGTTTTTTATACTTTCCTTTTAGCCCAAACAAACTTCAATCATTCATGAACATTTCAAGTCAGTGAGCCTATATAGGAAAGACGATATCTTTCTTTCCCTCTAAGTCATGTCAAATGACACACCTGGTATTACCAATTTCAGCTTAAAGATAGTATTGATTACAGATCGGCTGCAATGTGCACATGTGTATGAGGACGGATGAAAGGGCTGCACCTGTTTAGTCCAGAGAAGAGAAGATTAAGGAGAGATGTGATTGCTGTTCCCAATGCTGGAACGGCTATCGCAGGAAGATGGAGCGGACTTGCTCTCTGTGGATGTGCCAGTAAGGATTAGAAGAAATGGGTGGAAATGGTGAGGAGGCACATTTTGGCTAAAGAGCAGGAGAAATGTCCCAGTGGCCACTGTTGTTTGATAGTGGAATGGACTGTCGCCGGAGGCGGTGGATGTTCCTTTCTTTGGATTTAGATGACTTCCAAGATCCTGTCCATCTTTAGGATCCCACTATATTATGCCAGTATCACAACATTTAGGCCACTCCTCTGTCTCTTGAGAATCCACTGCATTCTGTATAGCATGTGCGCCTGCTGTATTAAAGGCCTGGCATCCATCTCTGGCTTGAAGCTGTCATTTCATAGTGTCACAGAATGGTGGAGTTGGAAGGGTCCAGAAGGTGACTGGCGACACCCCCCCCCCCCGCTTGTGCAGGACACTCAGTCGCACCATCTCATTTAGATGCCAAAGGCCCATGTGCCAGCAGGACCCCAGGACAACAGTCCCCGCAGTCACGCCGTCGCTTCCCCACTGCAACTTGTTTATTCACCTGTGTTTCACGTTGCGCTACACAGACACAGGTGAAAAGAGGATCCTGGATGCCATTGCCGCTTTGTCCGCTGCCCTTCTGCCCAGCAGGGGGCCTGGCAGCTGAGGACAATGGCGGCAGGAAGGCAGACTCACGGAGGAGGAGGTGGCGGCACTGAGGACTTCCTGCTGGAGTGATCCAGCTTCCCTTCCATTTCCTCTTGCGCTGGAACCTCACTGGGGGCAAAATCTGAAAGCTTCCTTGCGGATGGAACATCCATCACAAAGCCAAGAGCTTTTGCGAGAATGGCAACTCATGAACGTCCAAAGTGGATCGAAGTACAACACTAGATCACCACACGGTCCCTGTTATTTATTTATAACATTTTTAATCCCATCTGATGTCCAGCATGGCACTCTAGATGGCTTGCAAAGCTTGTCGGCCCATTTTGCATCTGAGCAGGCTTCCCTCCCAGGAAGCTCAATTCTCTGCAGATTCAACCTCCAGGCGAGTTCTGAACCTCTCCCTCTGTCCTCCTATCAGGGGGACAGGTTTCTCTTACCATCTGTGCGCTAAAAATGATTTAATTTATTAAAAGCCAACATGATGATAAAACTACCCAGACTGACAGTTTTCATGCAGAGAACCAGTCTGTTGCCAGTTCTGGATAGCTGAAATATGACCACCCTGCACATGAAATGCTTATTATAATCAGTTTAATTATATGGGTACCTGCAGCCAGCTGTTCCACAACACTGTATGCTTTTATGGCATCATCTCCCTTGAAATATCAAGATTTGCAAGCCTGGGATGGAGCAGGCGCCATTATTATTCATAACCAGCACAGTGAAAAAACAGACAAAAAGCCGCAACTGCATAAACAGACCCAATGAGTGCAATTAAGCCCCCTAAAAGGTCATGATAGATTTCATTTAAAGCTGCATTAACCGTGCACTCTTTGCCCTCAGAAGGAAGCCAACAACTGTTAGCTTTTCCTCCCTTTCTTTTAAAAAAGCCTTTACCCACTCTTTTCTTAAATAAATGCGCATAATTTTTCTGCCAAGGAAAAGGGACTCATTTGCCTCAAGTTACAATTCTTAGAAAATACAATTATGACATGGCCATGTATATTCACAGGTCACCCCAGCCACTGGCTCTTAATAAAGAACTTGGCTCCTAGATAAGTTAGTATAGAATCCTAACAGTAGTGAGTGAGCAATCAGGTGGACTTAAGCCTGGAATGGGCAAGCCCATATCTGTGTAACAGTCAGGATAAGGCCTTTAAAAAACAGTGTATTATCCTGAAATGATTTATATAAGGAACCCTGCAAAATTAAATGTTAAAAATGAATGCAAAATGTGGGAGTGTAATACTGGGATAGCATAACTCCCTCAAAAGGTTTTGATTTTAGTTTTTTAGATTTCCATCCCTTCCAATTATTCTGCAAGGGAAATCAGGCCACAATGTGGAGTTTCAGAGCTGAATGTGACTCAAAATCTGGATTCCCATATCCGGGCCCATCATTCTGGCACACAGCAGTTTTCTGGCTCTCCAAACAAGCACAAATCCCAAATTCTGGATAACTCTCAAATACTTGCAACAGTAAAAGATTTTGGACTGGTTAATCCACCTAAACAGAGTCTAACTATACACCAGCAGAAAAATTAACAGCAAATATGCCATTCTCTGCCTGAATCTTTTAAACAAAGGCTTTTAGAAATTTGGATACAGTATCTTTCTTATGCTGACAAGAACACAAATCACATTTCAGCAGAATCAAAATGAAGCCTCAGAATCTCAGTTTGTCTATTGTAACTCGACTGGTTGCAGAACAGTAGAAATCAGAGCAGCGTTTACTCTTTGATATGGGAAAAGCATCTGCCCATGTAAAGAGGGGAATCCAAACTGAAAGCCCCCCTCTGTCCCATTCTTTCAGCAAAGCTTCTGGCTCCACCCTCAGGTTGGTTCCTTTCGCTTGTGGGTGAACACCGGACATGTCACAATTGGCTCGCTTGTTTTGCTTGTCATTTCCTGACTGGGTGGAGGAAATCCATTTTTACTGCCTCCTCCTTTAACTCTGAAAAATCTCCCTTTTTTGTTAACCAAACTAAGCCCTGGTATGCCCAGAAGAGAACGGGGGGGAAGTTTTCTTTTTAAAACTTTAGTTTTGAGAATAACAGAGCTGCCTACGAATCACTCCAGCATGGCACACCCAAAGCATGTCTCAGGATGCCTTTCTATACATTAGTTTATTCAAGGGTTACCCATAGAGTTAATGCTTTCTAATAGGCTACAGAGGTGTAGTTACACTGGTGTGACTTCCCCCTGCCCTGCATATCCAAGTAGAAAGAAAGGTGGGAGGGAAGGTCCATGTCTGTCAGAGATGGAAAGAGCATGTGGTATTTTGTGGAGGTCAGGAGGGAAGTATGTCAGTTGCACTTTGCTTTTGCTGCTCTCATCTATCGAGTGTCAACTGGTCCTCTGGAATGGCGCCTAGTTAATATCAGCTATGTTTCAAGGATGTACACATGCTGATTTCTAAAAAAGAGGGCCTTACACTGGCTCATCTATAGGTCAACATCTGCTTGATTTTATCTATGAGAGTTATACCTTTTGATTTCTACATCAGTCCCCCGCCCCCCCCCCCCCCAATTTTGGAGCCGAGCCATGCCTGTGGCTTTTGCTCTGCAACCACCGAACCTCCTCCCTGTGATATTATGTTTTTTGTGCAAGGCTGGTTGAAAGCCGTCTCTAAGGAGGGCTGGTTCTCACGCTCTGCCTGAGAAACTTCACCAAGTATCCTTGAAGCTCCCAAGTCCTCTCCCTGCACCCCTCCTGCTCTTCCAGCTCCTCCTTAGAACTGGACGAATCAGTCCGAGCAGACTGTAAACAGGAAGAGACGGGGCCTTTCTCTACAACAGCATGCAAACTGGAAATATAGAAAGGCATGTTCTTGCAGCAAATGTTTATAACAAATAGGTAACTTTCGGTGATTCTCTGCATGAGTATCAGCCAGCCCGCACTGGGAGTGATGAGTGGGCATCCAGCCCTCAGGCAGAAATGGTGCCCCATCATTGATAATTCCATTTCTTGTCACTGGTACCTTTGTGGAACCATCTCAATGCTTAAGTTAGGATTGTTGAGGTGGGCCCATCTCATAATGAGGCAAACAGTATGAGCGAAAGCAATGTACATTTTATGAATTAGGCTGTTTTTTATTCATTTGTACTACTTATTAGGTTATATTTAGGTATATTTTGTAACATTTCTGCAATGAGTTTGGCAATATGGGCCATTTCTTTTCCAATTTCCCTTTCATGAAGTTCTTTTTCCTCCAACCCTTTTCTTACCAGCAAGGTCGATAATGCCCCACTTAGGGAATTTGATGTCAAAGCTTGTCAGCAGACAGAAGTCTTACCTGAGCCATTTTTTGAGTATCCATTAGCATCCACAGTTGTATACATAATATATGGTCCAGGCTGATTCACACCAAAGGGCTGTAATGACAAATAATGTGTTGAGTCATTCATCACAAGAAGAATGTGAAAAGAAAAGAGAAGAAAAGACAAGACAAGACTGTCATTCATGTTGGAAATTCTACAATGATTTTTTTGTTGAGCTTCCGAGAGTAGCAGATGAGCTGTTTTGAAGTGGCAGAGAATCGGGGGGGGGGGGGTACCTATTTCCCCTTTCAATACATTCTTGTACACACTCTTCTGAATGCAGTGTGATTGCACCCAGTCACTAACCTAGCCATTGAGCGTTGAGGTTGATTTGAACAAGAACAATAGCATTTAAAGTCGCAACTCCAATCTGGTGTTTGAAACAGCATGCTCAGAGTTCTCCCAAGCCAGTGGTGCAGAAAACAGTACACGTTTCCAACAGAGATACTTATTCTCATCGGCTAATGCAAGTCTAAAAGATGATTGATGGCAGACGGACAGTTTGATAGGAACAGCAGATGCCAGAAAAAGGGCTTAGGCAAGCTGAAATTCATCATGGTTGCAGAACAATTTTATTTATTTGTATATTAGATTTATATCCTGCGTTTTTTCTTTTTTAAAGGACTCAAAGTGGCTTGCATCAGTCCCTTCCTCCAACTCCCAATCTTATCCCCACAACAACAACCCTGTCAGGTCTCTTGGGCTGAGAGTCTGTAACTTGCCCAAAGTCACTCAGTTGTTTCCATGGCTGAGTAGTGACTAGAACCCAGCTCACCTGTGTCCTACACCTGTACTCTGAATCACCACACTGGCTCTCTTACGTTGAAGGTTTTCTTTTTTTGCAGAGTTTTTATTAGTAGGTTTCTCTCTTTTAGGACTATATGAGATGCTGTGTTGAATGGTGGGAAATTTGTGACAAAGGAAGGACTTCTCCACTCAGAACACAGTCCGGCTATGTTATTTACTTCTACAAGATGTGATGATGACTTGGATGGCTTTAAAAGGAATTAGGGAAGTTCACGGAAGACACGGCTTCCAGTGGCTACCAGGCCAGACAGCTGTACACTGCCACAAACATCAGAGCCATGGTGCCTCTGAAGAGCAGGTGCTGGGGAACCCTAGAGAAAGACTACTGGTTTCATGTTCTACTTGTGGTCCCCCAAAGATACCTGAATGTGTGAACAGAATGTTTTATTTATTTATTTATTTATTAAAACATTTTTATGCCGCCCCATTCGCCGAAGCCTCGGGGCGGCTTACAACAAAGCCTCAGGGCGGCTTACAACAGAATGTTGGACGAGACTCGCGTTTGGTTTGATCCCACTAGGCTCTAATGGACTTCCTGTGGCCCACAAGGCCGTTTTCAGTTCTCCTGACTCTGCCAGGCACTTCATTGGACCATGTTGAACCATTTTGGCCATGTGTCTTCAAACTTGCCCCGTCATGTTCGAACGTCTCCTACATACCCTTCTTTCCTAATTTTCTTTTTCTTTTCTTTTCTGCTTTCTCTGACTCCCTGCTTGTTCACCAAGTATCTGGCTTCTAATTCCAAGTCCAGTTTCTCCACCCCTGGTGCCCACTGGCAAAAGTTTTCTTTAGTCACTCCTTGTCAGTGAAATACCCTTTAATTGATAACCTCTGCCTTGCTCCATCCCGTTATCTTTGAGAAGCGCCTAAAGACTCATTTTTGCACTTAGGCCTTCCTCATACAGTTTGCCTCCTCTGTTTGTCTTTTCCAAGACACCTTCCTGACGGATAACAACTGTTCTTTCCTCTGTAAGCCCCGCTGACAAGGGCCGAGCCATTTTAAGATGCCAATATCGCTTTTGATGTTTAATGAACAACATGCCACCACGGATATTGTTCTCTCTGTGTTCAAGTAGCCATACTGCACAGATTCCAGTCCACTGGACACCCAGCACAACAGACATGCAGGCTCTCCATTGCGTAGCTTTGCTTGTACTGCTTATAGGCGGCCAACCAGCCCACACCGAATGAATGCTAACAGAGCCCTAAGGCCATTTTAAATGGTGAGCAGTTAGAGCTCTCAGCCCCCAAAGAGTGCTTCTATGCAGCTATGGAAATTCTAGTGCATAAACAGTATTCTCTTACAGCAGTGATACTATAAAGAAACTGTTCAGAAGTCAAAATCAGTATGAACTTCACACATGTCTCCTTGGGAGTTTAATACAAATGTGAATACAAGTCAGAAGGACGAAGTCTATGGAAAACAGAATATCCTTTATATTTATTTCCCCCAGTTTTCAAGACAGTGGTAAGATATGTTACCTTTGGGAAGGGAGAATAAAGTATAAGACAAATTGTTCAAGAAGGCTTGATCCTCAAATAAAGTCCAAAGCAGATAAGTGAGAGTCAAGCATTTCAACTGCACAGCACACCTTGGGGACCCAAGCTGTCAAGCAAGTTTGCCTGAAAGTCGCTCTCACAAATTGGGCCTTGCTGAGATGACTTTCAAATTTCTGCTTTCAAATTTTTGCTCAAAAGTTTATTATTTGGAGGTTACACTGAGCTAGAGGAAATGGCTGACGAAAAGGCAGCACAAGCATCGCAAAGACACGTGTCTTATTTTATTTATTGAATGCACCTCCCAGCCACCTTTCAAGGCTATGTCAGTCCAACTGCAAATCCACTGCTGTGGTCCAAGGCTGTGGCTTAGTACAGGTTCAAGCCCCGGCATATCCAGGTAGGGCTGGAAAAAGCCCTGCCTGAAATCTTGGAGAACTGCTGCCAGTCAGTGTCCACAATACTAGGCTAGATGGAACCCTGTCAAAGGTGGCTTCCCCTCCAGCAAACACTTCTACATTTGCATTGGTATAATGGAGTTTGCACGTGCCAGTGGAGCTTGCCCTCCCCATTTGCTGACCACCTACTCCTAAAATGGCACTGCAACCTGCTTTTAAAACCTTCACATGTTTTAGCAGGTAAATTGTGATTCAGCAAGTAACAATAAAGGATAGACAGTCTACAAAGAAAAATGCACATGCCTATGGAAACAAACATTCTATCAAATAAAACAAGGCATTCAAGTCCTAGTTCTAATGAATTTCTGAAGAACTGATGCCTTCCCCTGCTTCTTCAATACTGGCATGATCTTACAGAACACTGTTTCAGTGATGGGAAATTGTGAACTCTGATCTCCAAGAATTATGCAGACTTGCAGAAAGAAAAGGAGGCGTGCAGCTGAACAGCCAATTCTTTCTCTCAAACTGATATTCCACAAGATTTTTAGAACTGCTTCATGACAGACCCTTGGAAATAAGGAGCAGTTACATGCAAGCGAATTAAAAATAAATTCCCTATCCAGGAAGAAATGACTCTGAAGTTTAATTTGCAAGCTATTGCACTTACTCCTCTGTCCATTATCTTTTGAAAAGGGCAAAGATGAACAGGATCTGGGATGCCAGATCTTTCCAGTAACAGGTTTCAGCAGTGTACTTACTGATGTCTTATGTGGACAGGCACTGGAACAGAGGCCACTCAGAACTGTGGATAAAACGAGAGAGAAAGTGCAGGGTTATCTGTGCTGTTACCAGTATCACTGCAGTCCAGGAGTGGACAACATACAGTCCCGTGGCCATTTGAACTCTCCCCCCTTTGTCCCTGCTGCCGTGCCACTAATTTTACTGCTAAGGTTGGGCATGGCAGAAGCAAAACTGCAGCCACTTCTCCTAAAGGCAAGTCACTCCTGCAACACACACTTGGTTTTTGAGCAAAACTGTGCTTCACAAAGGCTTTTGGGAGCACAAGTCTGATTTCCAGCAAGGCAGGCACTCCCTGTGTGCCTCCTTGAAGGAGGTATCGAGACTCTAGTGTCAGTGGGGAGGGCCGTGGCTCTCAGTGGGTTCGTAAGTGGGAGGATGACTGGCATCTGGTGCTCCAGAAGTTGCCTGGCCCCGCTCCAGTCCACGCACAGCTCCCTGCAAACCCAGCGTTGCTGCTGCATGATAGTCATTTGCTCAGGCAAGTCAAGTTGCATCTCCTTCCTTCATAAAGTCCCATAAAAATTTAATTACTGTTGTCTGCCTCACATTAACATTTAAAAAGACATTATTGATCTGTCCAAATTATGCCACTTTGCATAATGCAGACATTAATTAAGCAATCACTAGTCTATCATAGCCATTTCCTGGCTGGGTAGCATGTCCCAAAGACGGCTAAAATGCTTATGTTCAGAATGAACAATTAACAATGCATGCTAGGAATAGAGGTCTGCACACTTTTCTCATCATGCTCATTTTTCAGTTCTTGAATCTATACTCCAACCAGTGCCATTTTTCATCGGAATGTGTATCCCGCTTTCCCCCCATGTACTATCCAGGGCACTATGTTGTTCAACTTCACAACAGCCCTGCAAAGCAGGTTAGGCTAGGAGAGGGTAGGTCTGGGCCAGGTCAGCTGGTGAACAGCTCAGTGTCTGAGTGGGCATTTGAACCCAGGCATCCGAACGGCCTGTCGTTCCTTTTCTTACGCATCCTGCAATGCAGCCGTAAATCTGAAACAGGCCATTTTTGTGCTTCCCGGTTGCTCTATCTGCTTTATCATTCTGAGAAAGACTTACATTAACAAAAGAGCCCGACCCAAACTATGAATCAGACGGTATTCAAGAAACAAGGAACAAATGACGGTAAGCTGAATGGATAGAAGTGTTGGCCAGATGCTAGCAAGATCTGGGCACAAAACACAGCTCAGGTGGAGACACCTCCCTGCTTGATCTTCCCTCACCTGTATTGCAACAGAAGCAACCATTTTCATTTAAGGGTTTGTTGGAAGGATGCTTGCGGCTTTACCATTAATATAGTAGACTGTTTCAAAAGGAAGCATTATAAACATACATTTCGTCCCTCTTCCAACTCACAAGAGATGCAACCCTTTGGCCTCACCTGCAGTAAATGAATGTCATTTGATGGCTTATAAATACAGGCATTAAAAATACTAACAGTTTTGAGGCATGGAAGAGCAGAGAGGCAACAAATGCCTGAGCAAATAGCTTCTTGACCATGGGAAATGAGAAAGTTCATCGTCAGCAGCTACAAATTAATGTCTCGTTCACTTTTCCTTTCTTTCTCTGCCCCTTAATACCTCCAAGAACATCTGTTCCTGAAAGCACTTCATCTTTGTGCCAAGAGTTAAAGCTGGTTCAACCATGTTTCGTGCTGTGATTAAGCAGGCGATTCCTTAATAATCTAGTGCCAGAGCTGGGCATCTCTGAAAGGAGTTTGCCCTCTGCAGAATTGTTCTTTTTTAAAGTAATTGGTAGCTTTGCGATTTTAGATGCAAGGCACATGAAAGCACTTCAGAGGGAAATGATGGAGAAAAAGAAAAGGATCTCAGCAAGTGCATACACCATTATTCTGGACTTTTCATACTTTCACACTTCATACAGCATCTTAAATATGATATTTAGGTCACTTTTTGCCCAGTGGGTATCTGAAGAAAGGAAAGCTGTATTTAACAGAACAATTTTATTACGTATTCTACCAAATTACACCATCTTGTGTACATCAGACCCTGCGTGTTCAGTGAATTCATTTCCCTAGTCAAGGGATAGAGGTTCAGATAATGATAAAATGGCCTCAATCAATGAGGCCAGGGACACGCCGTGCTGTAGAAAGCGTCGAAGCCAAGCAAGTGCTGAGCTCTCCCAGTGACCGCACGGAAAGCGACTGGGGCGGATTCTAGAGTTTCCAAAGAAGGATTTCAAATATTTCAGCATTGGTATTCATCACATTTGCTTTCAGGGTGGCTTACCAAATTAAAAATACAATGCACAAAGCATTCCAATAAATAGAAACCAACAAGCAGAATTCTGAACACTCAAAATGCCATGTGAATAAGTGATGCTGGTGGACGGAGGGAGGGCATTCCCATCACTGTTCTTGGGTTGTCACCCGTGTTCTCTGAGACCACACTGATAATCAATGGAGGGGAAAAAAACAGGCCCAAGGTTCTCCTCCAGGTACCTGACTTCCAAGTCAGTCGGGGCTTTAGAATTGAGTACCAGCACTTTGAACTGGCTGCAGGAGCAGCCTGGAGGCCGGGGATACTTCCAAGTCTGGCAGGAGGTGGTGTGAACAAATTGCCCCAGTCCGGACCGTGGGTCTTCTGGGAAGGGGGAGGGGTCTGTATTTGGCCAAACAAATGGGAATCTGCACCCGGACAGAATGTAAGTCAGAGCCTTGTAGACGAGTTTCTGCCTACACATTTGGGTGGCGAAGGTCTAGCCCCAAGCCTAATAAACAGGCAGGCCCTGTGCCTGGCTGCTCAGGCCTCCAGCTCCCCCTTGAAAACACCTTTGTCTTGGAGCCAGGCCCCGCACCTGCTCTGCTCCACTCCTCCGCAGTGTGCAGTTTTATTTCATTTTTAACCTCCTTTCTGCACCATACCTGAAAGTTAATAATGGGAATGCTATTCCTATTATTTATTATTATTGGTATGGATATATTATAAAGCAAATAATAACATGGAAAGAAAAGTAATTAAATACAGGCACGGGCGAGTCCTTTGCCCCTTTTTGTACTTCTGAAATGCACGCAATGAAGAACTAAGTATCTACATTGGATGATTCAAGAAAGATAAGCCTAACATAGGAATAATGCAGATTATACTTTATTAGATTTCCTTAACCCTGTCCCCCACATGCACTTTCCAATAATGTTTCCTTTTTGCATCGTTAGTACACAAGCATATTTCTGATGTTCTCAGGCTTGGCATACAACTAGAAGCAGAATCAAATTTCTCCCCTAATAGCATGTTGATGCTTTCATAGTAAGCCACTTACCAATGACTTTAACAAAATAGGCATCCGCTTCAAAGTTATTTTTTAATGCGTGGATGGCAAGCTCTCGCTTAGAATGATCCTTACTGAGGACAATGATATCCAAGATTCCCTAAAGAAATAAACAGAATGGAACTAAGCATAAACGCATCACCTGAACAGCTCTAAAAGCGTGAGAACAAAACAAACACTCAGCAAGCATGCGAAGGGAACCGGAGGGGGGGTCCGCACATCACCTTCATCTTCCCCTGGCAATGCACCACCATATGGCCCCAACAAAAGACCCCCGTGGCCCTGTCAATGCAGCTCTTTAAAAGCAACCCAAAGTTTTGACAGCTGGCTGCCAAAGCACATTTTTCCTAAAAGGGAGTTGGATGCAGCTTTGCGGTTCCCGATGCAAGTAAGTCTTGGGAAAACAGGCAAAATTTGCCCTGGCCTGAGGAGTGTCAGGGGATCCCTGACATGGGCATGCTATGGATAAAGGGGTGTCGATGACATCTTACAGGCTCCAGGTTTCCCAAGTCATCATGCAAGTAAGTATCCAATGCTGACAGGCCACCAGTGTTTGCCAGGCTGTACTAAAGGCAGTGCGAGCACAATGGGAAGCAAGCACCGGACCCCACAAACCGGCACTGCAGAGACTTATGACCAAACAACTATTTTCCCTTTGTCTACGTTCTTTTTCTCCTCCATTTAGCACAGATCTGGTCTGCAGGCATCCGTTTTAGGTATAAAGTCATGTATTCTGGGCAATGCCATTCCATCCTTCATTATGTTTAACGGGAAGTGTGTCAGTTTTACGATTTCTCTGCAACAGGAAACACTGCTGTGCTAAGCAGATATTAGGTTTGTGTTTAACAATGCTTCAAAAGTGTCAAACTTCACCTCCAGATATTAGGGAACATGAAAACATTTTGAATGACTTATTTGGCAGAACATGCAGCAAAAATATGGAGATGTACTTTTCACCCTTGGAACTTCCTAATAAGCATGTCGCCTTGGGGAAAGGAAGTAAGGAATTATATCTAAAAGAAGGCGCTACGGAAGCACTGTGATTTGGAGTGTATGAAAGGACAGAGATGGTTAGAGGGTTCAAGAATGAGAGATTAAGACAAGGTGAAACTTGGCACTGGATGTAGACTGCCGGATGCAGTGTGTGCTCAGGTACGATGTGAGAATGAGTTATTGTGAATATCGGGAAGACAGAAGGTGAGAAATGTGGCTGGAATTTTGGGATTTTTGTTCACCTGTCTCGAAATGCAAATATCCTGAAATGGCCCCGGCAGTTCAAATCACAGGGGTGAGCAGCTCAGCTGTGGTCTCTGCGGGATAACTGCATAATCTATGCCCCACTGCTCTATACCAGTTGAACAACTGGAGGCACCTGCCTGTAATAATAAAAGGCCCTGTGGACACTGGGAACTCAGCCAGTCAGGCTGACTTGGATCTAGGAGCGAAGGATATAATGGCAGCTCTGCTGGATCCATCCTGCTGGCCCGTCTTCTGGCTCCAACACTGGGTGGTTACAAGCCACAGGCAGGCTATGGAAGTAACGACCTCTCTTCCCTGCTCAGCTGCTATTAAGAGCACACGCACTCTGGATGCAGCTATCATGGCTAATAGCCCCTATGAGACCGATCCTCCAAGATCTTGACCTTTAAAGCCCTTGATGGCTGGGAATCGACATACTTCAAAGACTGGCTCTGCTCATATGCATCCACTCACTAATTAAGATCTGGTTCAGGATCCCTGTCCAAATACCATGTTTGTGAGAAGTCAGATCAGCCACAGGGGGTGGGGGGAAAGACTCCTGGGTTGTAGAAAAGTCATCCTACCCAGAGAAAGTGTTTCATATGAAAATCTGGGTAGCCCTTAGGAAAGGCTACAGTAACTGTATTTTTCAAAAGGTTTGTGAGATGATAGGACTGGAACTGACCACTAATGCAACTTTTAATTTAAGTGTTTTGTCACTTCACTCTGCCTTTTTTTTTTTGAGTATTGTCAAAAGCCAACTTTAACCTATGGGGGCAGGGAATCACACTATTTTCCAAAACAAATCTAGATTCAAAACCCAATGGGGCCATGATGTCATTATACACATTTCTTTCTCTGGACTCAAGGTTCCCCACTTCTGCAACAGGAACAATGGCTTGCTGGTTGAAGGGTAGTCACAAAGGCTGCAAAAGCATGCATTTCCTGCATTCATACATTCAGCCCAGGAGGTGCACCTTAAAATATTGAGACACGTCTACAAATGGATGTGAAGGGACCCATGGTAAACAATAACATTGTGAGAATACAATAACAGTCCGAGAACATCATCTACAGAAAATCACATTTAGAGAAGGAATGGGTGCTTCCCCTACTTACATAATCTCTTGGTATTTTAGAGTATTTGTTTATATTTTAGTGCTGTTGTATTTTTTATTTTATCAGTTAAGAACTGAGGTTATATGAAGGTTACCGGCAGGTATTAGTGCAGGTGCTTTTTTGTTGATTGTTGTGATTTTATTATTGCGATGGTTGTCAAATTAATAGTATTTATTGTATTATGTATATGTTGGCTTATATAACAACTTGTAACCTGCCCTGAGAGGCAATTTGGATAAAGGGGTGGGGTAGAATTCTAATAACTAAAGAAATAATACTAAGAATGCCAATGAGGTTCCGTGTTTTAGAATACATTACTCAACCTTATTGTATGCTTGCACCTTAGGGAAATCCCACTCCTCAGTAAAGAAAAATAAAAGAAGACAAGATCTTTATTAACACAGATCTATTCAAAGCTGTTGAAATGAAGCATGACTGATCTCCATAAATCTCACTGGCTCTCTCTCCTGTTTCAAATGAATTGTTTTCAATTGATCCATTTGTTTTCATTAAGTGCTGAGGATCATCCGGTCAAAATACTCAGAAGCACGAGTTCGGAATGAAAGCTCAAACGAGAACAGGCAGACGGCAGTTACACAGGCAAGAAAGCAGCACAAACTGCTCGACTCACGTCTTCATAAATGTCAAAGAAGGTTGCCACCACGGCATCTTTGATCTGATTTAGATCGGAGAGCTCCCAGTAGACCTTAAACATACGACGTGCCCCCTCACAGCTTGCGTTGTTGCACTCGACATTCTGCAACAGGAAAGCTTGCTCGTTGCTGAAAAAGAAGGAAAGCAACACGTGGGAACTCAGTTCAATTTCCCTTCCCTTCCTCTTATAAGGTTGGCTGTCAGTTTGTACCTTTGGGGTTTAACACGCACACCCTTAGCCACTCATTCGCTTTTCTTTTCAGTCAAGCTCCACCCTCAAGGGTTGCTCCGCTGCTTGAGGGATGGATGGAGGGAATGCTGACCCCCCACTAACTGGGCCATCAGCCTCTCCTGTTGCTGCCTCAGCAGGTCAAGAATTGGGTCTTGCGACTGTTCCTCCGTCCACCTTGAAAACCCCTCTGCCCCGAGAAACTTCACTCAGGGAACACCTGCTCTCCCCCTTGCTCCTTTGCCCTCCTCAGAATCAGATTACTCCATCTGTAATGAGTGAGCCACTGGCTTACTCATGGGACAGACATCATCCTTGGGCTGTGCAGAATGGGAATGGCCAAATGGCCAGTCAAACAGAATTCCTCAGCCTGGTGCCCTCTAGCAGTTGTTCTGAGCTCCTGAGCTCCAGCCAGCATGGCCGGAAATGCCGGGCACTGTAGTCTGAAACATCTGGTGGGTTCCAGGTTGGGGAATAGAGCCTTCGAATTTTTCTTCAAATTTCTTTCAGCTCTCCAGGCACACATCTTGCAGCACGTAAGCGTGTTTTCAGTCTGCAGGCTCACTGAGGTAAGGCTCAGCCCCTCCTGTTTACCCTTAAAAGCATTGATATGCCCTGGTAATGCAATAATACTTATCAAAGTTATATACTTATGGGTAGGCCTGAGAGAAGATCATCACACATGACAATCCACATACCGTTCACAAGCTATTTTCTACCCAGAAAGGAACCTTTTAAGCTTGCAACTGCCACTCTTTGCCCTACTGGTGCCCAACACTGAGAATATATTATACTCCCATTTGCTTTTAGCTGCTGGGGAAAGCATTGGTTGGTAGTGAGGGTGGGTGGCAGTGCTGGTGGGGAAAGATCATTTGACTGGAATGAGGTCCTACAGAAGAGATGGATCAGAATGGCCTATCTAGGGTACAACGCCAAAGTCACCGTGTTTTCCCCTTTTCTGCCCCATTTCTCACTGAAGAAATGCTGTTCATTCATGGAGTGACTTCAGCAGATTTTATGGGGGATCAAGGGAGAACTTGACACAAGGATGCTGTTTTTGATGTAGCATCAACAGAATCAAGGTCTGCCTTCAAGTGAATATAGAAAGGTCCGCCAAGCCAAGTAGAGCTGAGGGCTACTTCACCAATTTTTCTGTGTGCGTGTGTGTGTTGAAAGGTCTTGAACACACACAGATAGAAAGCTTTACCTGCCAAGCCTTGCACTTTATATTGTTGCAAGCTTTGCTTCCTCCCTGCTGTGCAAAATCTTCAAATGTGTGATTCAGACATTTTCCTCTCTTCATTTTTAATGAAGCTTTTCATTGCCATCATAACAAGCTTATTCTTAAAACATTGCCTGAATATTTACATATTTATATCCTGTTTGAGTCACCACTATCGTTACATTGCACCTCCATTACTCCTCATTTTGTCTCAACCAAATATCAGCACAGATTCACCAGATTATTCCAATTTCTCCGTCATTTATGACTGTCCTTGTTTGGATACGACAAAAGAGGACATACTGTATGCTAAAAATTGCATAGAATTTTTCTCCTCCTCCTATGATACTTTACAAAGACCATTTGGAATTTTACAGATAAAATAATCAGAAACCCTTCTCTGCCCTATTTGGTAAGATACTACCATATGCCATTTTGACACTAGGATGCAAATTATTACCTTTTTCTTAGGGATGTGCAAAATGCTTTATTATGAATGATAGAAAAGGCAAACATTGATCTACCATTAGTATCGGGGCAGAGGTGGAGTTCATCTAATCTTATTCTCAAAATGTAGAGAAAAATCCCAGCAGTATAACCATTTTAGTTTGCTGCTGCAAAGACTAGTTGGTCTTGAGGCATCTTCAAGAATAATAGATTTTTAGTCTTTAAGACACTGCTAGAATCTTTTGCTTCATTCCTTGTGAAGTATGTTATCTTGGGAGGCAGATACCTGTTGAAGGTCACTCTGTGAACTGATTTGAACCCAGCTATGTTGGCACTTTTCAAATACTTCAATGCCTTTCACACAGAGAAGGACCAGGATCTCTTCTCAATCACCCCAGAGTGCAGGACACGGAATAATGGGCCAAAGTTACAGAAAGCCGGCTAGATACCAGGAAACATTTCCTGACTGTCAGAGCAATGTGGCACTGGACCTAGGGAGGCTGTGGGCTCTCCCACACAGGCGGTGTCCAAGGGGCAGTTGGAAAGTCACCTTGTCAGGGATGCTTTAACCTGGAGCCCTGCACTGAGCAGGGGCTGGACTTAATGGCCGTAGAGGCCCCTTCCAACGCCAATCCATGATTCCCAGGCCAATGAGGGCTCCATTTCCACCACAGTAGTGCCCTGTCAGTTCAATGCCATCGCAAAATAATTATCACAAGACAGAATACTCAAAACAAGGAATATATTTTACCTGTGAGGGAGCAGGGAGAACACTCTGCCCCAAGTGGCAGTTGCCCTGGGATTGCGGGATGGAAGGAAAACCTATTTTGGTCCCGTTCCACAACCAAAAGGCTTAGAACTACTGGGCTGTGTAAGTGCTGTAAGTCTCCCTAGAGATCTTATGATAGATACTGCTATCTAAGAGGACGATGCGCCTTCCATTGGTCAATTCACCTAGCCTATTCTTTTGCATATTATGGTCCACAATTTGGGGAAACATCTATGTATTTATTAGTCTGACAAATATACCTTTGGATTGTTTTACTGGTCACAGTATGAATCCCCAGAACTTGAATATTTGAATCTCCTCGCACCCATTCAGTGAAGAGCCCTCCTAGTAAACCTATACAAATGTGTCTCCCAAGAGGAGACACCTGGGACCAATTCGACCATTACAGCCCATGTTACAGCAGGGAGCCTGCTGGAGAAAGACGAAACACCGCGGTACTTTGGGAGGCGTCAGTAACATCTGAAAAGGGCTCACAGTCATCTGTCGGCACAAACATGGTTTGTGGGGCTGGTAGTGAGCCAGCAGTAATATCTATTTGTTCAGTGTTTCCTGCAAATCACACATTTTGATGGGGAAGCTCACATTTCTAGCAGAGGATGGTGAAGGATGATTAATCTAACAGGCCATGTTTTGTTGGAGGAGAGTCTTGTGAAGTATTGGTTGCATGCTATTACAAGAAATGGACTGTTGCAACTAAGAGCAAAAGTGTAAAATAAAAGATATTTGAACAAAGAAATGTAAAAATTCCTATTACTGAGTGCAACATGTATTTCTGCCATGGCTATGACATATAAAGCAACAGTAACATTACATGTTTTTCCTTTAATTGTTGGATGACTAAGTCATGTTTTCCAGTTTAATATCTCTCCCTCCCTCCCTTTGTGCGTGTGTGTGTGTGCGCGCACACTTATATTAGGTTGATCAAAACACGTAGTCTGAGATTTGGCAACAGGCCTTCTAGGGAACAGTGTCTGAGAAATCTCTCACTCTCGGTTTGCTCCAGAGCAAAATTACTCCAAATCATTTTTATCATGCAGCTTTCCTTGCTTTGTTATGGTATGATTCTTGCTATCATTATGTACAATGCTTTTGGTGCCCACACATCGAATGAACAATTGGCATGCTTTGTCCAGTGTGTTCTAAGGAAATCATTGTTTAAAAAGCATTAAAATTAGACATGCTTGGAAGAAAACCAGCATCCAGCTTCGCTCATGGTCAGAAACAGTAAGCTGGCATAAGAAGAGTATGAAGTCTCTTTATATAATACTTAGCCAGTAAATAGGAGCAATATTTACTCTGACTACAGCAGCTCTTCAAAATCTTGGACAACCCAATTCTGGGTGTCAATGCTGGGACTGAATCTAGGACTCAGACATAAAGCACACACTCTGCTTCGGAGCTACAGGCCCTCTGGGCCTCTTCCCACCTTGGGTGCTACAGCCTTCGAAGAAGATTCAGAGTCAGACTAGAAAGAGCTGATCTAGGACATGCGCAGAAGGCGGGAATTTCCTCATTTCTTCTGAATGGACAGAGGACTCTCTTCTAATGCTGCTGCAGAGGCCAGAAAGCATCACAGGTACAATGCCTCTATTACTGGAAAGCTCCTTTGCTTGGACTAACTGAGCTCTAAGCAGTTGAGAATCCCATGCTCTTAACTCTGCCTGAGATTTTGCTGCAGCCTGCCTTGGGAAAGGGGACTGCCGTCACTGATACAAGGGATGAGAGAGAACATTTGGATGCCTTTGAAAGGCATCCGAACCAGAAAGAGAGAATGTTTGGGTGCCTTTGGAGGACATTTTCCAGAGAATGTTTGGATGCCATTGCAGCCTTTTCTAGTAATGGCAAATGTTCTTCCGCACCCACACATCTCCCTACTCCAGAGAAGAACTCTCGCTCCAAACAGCAGCGCTTTGTATGTATGAGTCCTGTGTGGTGGGCTGGAGCCTTCTGGCCAGTCACGACAAGGTGTCGGAGAAGCTGTGGAGCCCCAACAGAACAGGCTGATTATGAGTGGGAGACCGTTCACGGGAAAGGTGCGACTAGCAGGCTGGTCCTGAAGACAGAGAAGCTCCAGCTGTGATTCTCCTTAGCAGACACTGGGAACATGGTTTGAAAAGACAGCCGTTGTCTGCCACTCCCTTCAAACACAAGGTGGTGAGAAAATTTAATTTACTACTGCCAGAAAAAGAAGTGTGTGTATCTACAGAGATAATACTAAGATGCGGAAATAAATCTCAGGCAAGTCAAGTTTGCAGACTATAGTAACGTGATAAAATGCTGAATTATGCTAATGTTTTCAGTCAATTTGAAAACAATTAACATGAAATACTGAGATATAGTTGAGCAACATAAATCTTGGGAAAGTGTTTTGATTTAGGAGTGAGGGGCACTGTCTGGTCAGCTCTGCTGCCAACCATCCCCTTCCTGTTTCTTCCTTTTC